CCACCTATGGCTTTCAAGGAGGCTTGGCAGTGGATGATAATGTTTGGCTGCTCCTGATGGAGGAAAAACGCAAGAAAATTGATGCGCCCTCCTTTCTCTAAGCCTTCTGCTTCCACTCACAGGGATGAGCCCCTGTGACCCTGTTGGCACTGCATGAATCCTATCTGCTCAGCTACCCAAGCTCAGTACTCAGAATCTTCTTCCAAGCAATTTGGAATTATCACTAGTCTCTGCTGGCCTCTTGAAGAACATGCAAATAGAGGGGTTTTGGGATGAACATCTTCTTCCATGTTCACAAAGAAGCTAAAGTGGTCTGCAGAGAAAGGAGAATGAAGAAGATATGCACAGAAAGAGGCCTTATGGCCCCATAGAGAGTGAGAAAGATTGAGCTAGAATGTGAGAGTAGCTGTCCTAGATCCTGATGGCTTTCCAGTTTCTGATTCTGTTCTCTTCTGAGACCAGATTGCATTTCCTTATCTGTATTGGAGGTGGCTAACTGCTGTAACAGATATACTCCAAAGTGTATAATGGCCCTAAGACAATAGAGGTTTATTTTTCACTCACATAAACAGGTCCAGATGGTTCTAAGTTGGTGGAGTGGCACCAGTGGAGGGCTCTGTGCCACACAGTTATTCAGGAACCCAGGTTACGGGAAAGCTGTGCCACTTTCACCACATAACTTCCAAGGTCTCCCTAGGTGTCAGCATCCAGTCTGCAGAAGGGAAATGAACGTGGAGTTAAGTGCATGGGCAGTTTTATAGGCCAGGCCTTGAACTAGCACATATCATTCACATTCCTTTGGCTGGAACTCAGTCACATGGCTTCATTTAACTGTATGGGAAGCTGAAAAATGTCATTTGTGTGACAGGTGTGGACCCAAAAGGAAGAGAAAATGAGTTTGGTGAACAGTTAGAGATTGCCACATCATATTATCTGTGTGATACCTCTATATCCTTCTAATTAAGTTCTCATTTTTTCTCATACTTGAATTGGCTTCTGTTATTTGTACCTCAGTACGTGAGATGTTTTCATGATAACCATATTTAAAATAGTAGAAGAAATAAAGACTGATTAATTTCTTTTCTCAGGAAAGTTGGGTCGATTTCCACCTATGATGCATCATCACCAGGCACCCTCAGATGGCCAAAGCGCTGGGGCTCGTTTCCAGAGGTCTCACCTTGCAGAGGCATTTGCAAAGGCCAAAGGACCAGGTGGAGGCATTGGAGGAGGAGGTAGTGGAAGAGGCCTGATGGGGCAGATAATTCCCATCTATGGTTTTGGGATTTTTCTGTATATACTGTACATTCTATTTAAGGTGAGTGGAATCATCTTGATCATATTACATCAATGAAAATCTAATATCATTGTAATAAAAATCATTGTCGGCATTAAAACCCTTTACAGCTCATAACCCTTTTTCAAATCCATCATCTCTTTAAACCTTGCCTCCTCTTTATGAGGTACTTAGGATAGCTGTTATCTCAGTTTTACAGATGAGAAAATCTTCACTCAGGGCTTAAATGATTGGCCCCAGAACTCATAACTGAAACTGCAAATCAGGATTTGAACCGGGATCTTCTAGTTCCTGATCCAGTGAGCAATAAAGTTCAAGGCCCCCTCCCCCAATTTTTTTTGACTGGACATTTTTGCAAGCTGAAAAGGCGTAAAGATGTTCTAAGAACTTTTTTATTAGGATTGGCATAGTGATTTCCATGAAGCTACTATGAGGCCATATAAGGACTACTAATACCACTTTATCCTTCTTTCCCTCCAGGAGTGTGAAGTGCTGTTTTTAACATCATTTCCAGTAATTCTCCTGAAACAGGACTGCACATCCTGAAACTAAGCCTGATATTTCCTAGCTCTGGGGAGACATGGTTGGGTCCTTTAAAAGCAGACTCCCAGTTAAGTTCCACCTCCAGGCAGGCTTTGGCAGGCCATGGGTCTGGGCACTGTGAAGTGGAGGTAGGAGCGTCACTTTCCCCTTCTAACTAGATAAGAGGTGAGTTCCTTCTTGCCCAGGAATTCTGCAGGCAGCCTGAGTTGAGTCTTAGATGAGCATGGACAAGGCAGACGACCTGTAAAGAGATATTTTTTCCTTGTGCCTTGATAATGTTTTACATATAAACTTTCTGTTGGCTTTTTTTTTTTTTTTTTGAGATGTTTCTCTGATGATGCTATTTGGTTTAATTTCTGGCTTAATTTTTGTCCCCCAACCTTTTTTCCCTTCATTTGCTATGAGGGGTTCTGTGACTTTGAGGTTCTCAGCTGCTGTTGATGTGTGCTGTACCTCCTTCAATTCTCAGCTCTCCAAGGGGAAGACTGCTGCAGAGGATCGGAAATGCTCCACTGCCACACCTGGAAATACCCACAGGAGAATTAGTGAGTGCTCTTTCTGGTATATTCACAAGGTTGGAGTCAGACAGCTCTAATACAGCCAGAGGGACACTCTGTGGATATGTCTTAAAAGCATTTCTCGAAAGTTGCCCCAAATTAATCTGATGCCATTTTTACCTTACTTCTGGGAATTCTGAAAAGTTTCCATATTGATGTTGGCCTTTTAAGGGAGAGAGAGTTAGAAAAAGTACAAGACCGCCAGTTCACTTTTTTATATGTTAGCAAATTAATATTTCACATTTGGAATGGGTTACTTCTCATTTCCAGACTTCAGAATATTGGTAGCAAATATCTTTATTTCACAGAGGGAAAATGGAGAGATCAAGTCATTGCCGAAGTCAGTTATTAGATCTAGGGACAGAGTTTAACACTTCAGACTCTTGAAACATGGTCATCAAATATTTACTGATCAACTGGAATGTTCTGTGCTCGCTGAGGAAATGAAATGTACATGGCATGGCCCTTCCCTCTAAGAATTTATAGTCTAGGATGGATGTTAGGAAAAATAACTTGTGAAAGAAGAAGAAACTATAGAAAGAAGGGATTTGGTGAAAGCCTTATAGGAAATCACATCTAGCTGGGTGGCTGTGGAGGAGGGCCTGACAGATAGATGGGATGGCTTGAGTAACACACAGCCTGACACCAGGCAGCTGTGGGAAAGAAGGCCTGCAGAGTAGGTAGGTTAAGCCATGTTGTTGAAGGCCTTGGAAGCCTAACTGCTTTATCCTGGGGTTAATGAAATCTCAGAGGATTTTAAAAGAAAGACATCAGTAAAATGAAGTGGGGCTGGACCACTTGAGGCATCTGCCCTTGGCCCATAATTGCTTTTTGGATTTACTCTGGATTCTCTGTGGAACAAGATGTTCCAGTCACATTCTACCTTCCTTTTGGAGATCTTAACTATTCAGAGAATCCTTTAAGAAAGCTGCTGTGCTCTTAATTGAGATAGTGTTTAACTAACAGTGATGGTAAATGCATTGGTAAAACAATTTTTGAAAGGTTTGTAGACTCTTTAAAGAGCAGCAAATTCTGTGTCTTGTCACATAATGCATTTAAAACAAAAAGAAGTACAGTCATGCGTCACTGAGAAATTCTGAGAAATGCATTATTAGGCAATTTCGTCACTGTGTGAACATCGTAGAGTGTACTGACACGAACCTAGATGGTATAGCCTACTACACGCCTGGGCTATATGGTACTCATCTTAGGGACCACCGTCATATATGCAGTTCATTATTGACCTGAGTGTCATTTTGTGGCACGTGACTGTAAATACAATGAATTCCTAAGAGCAGCTGCTTTATAATGTAGTAGCAGTTATATCAGCTTGTTATCCTTCAATTTTTAATCATGGAGAAAATAAAAATAACCTAAGCATTTATGTCCTCTAGACACTTTACAAATATTAACTGCTTGAAGAAGAATTTGTTCCAGAAGTATTAAAAGGCCTTTGAAAAATTACATTTTACAATGACCCTCTAAGTGTATCTGGATAGAATAGTACTTGGTTATGAAACAGAAAAACTAGATTATCTACATAATGAACAATGTCTTATTTTCTTACTGCCTAGTTCCTTTCCTGGTTCATTTCGTGTACTGATTGAGTGATTTATTTTTTATGTTCTATTTTTAGGGTCTTGATGTTAGTTTCAGTAGATAGATGTGGTTTCTACTGACCCTTGTTGAGAAAACTACTTCTGGGAATCAAGGTTACACCGCTTCATCCCAGGTGACTAGGTCAGAAAACCTTGGGCAGGGAGGTTTCTAGTTCAAGGCTTCCTCTACTGAAGGAGTGTAACATTTAAACTATTATCTTCCAGTTGTTTTCAAACCTTAGGTTCAGGTAAAATATTGCTCATTTCAGGGTCTTCACTCCTTTTCTAAAGCACCTTATAGGTTTGGTACTTTACCCTCAAGCATCGTTTGGATTAGAAAGGGTAAGTTTATCTTCGTCATTTCTTCTTGGGTGACTGTGTAGGGGTGTGCTTTTCACCCTTGGTGTTTTGTTAGCTTATCTTTCTTAGTATTTCTGTGTGTAAGAGAGAGTGATTTATTCGTCAGTTGCTAAATATGTGTCCTTTAGGTCTCGCAGCACAGACCTCAGTGCCCTTTGTGTGCTGATTGGATCAGTGGGAGTGACTCTCTGTCTCTTCTCTGAGTCTCAGGACCAGCCTGGATTATTGTAGAGTGTTACAGCCAGCCATGTTTCAGAAAAGAGCTTAGGGAGTTGTGTGTGATGGTTCTTAGATTGATGCTTATTTTTCAGCCAATTTTGAGCTTGTTCAACTACAGGAAAAACTGAAAGAGACAGAAGAAGCCATGGAAAAATTAATCAACAGAGTGGGACCTAATGGTGAAAGGTAGGTTTTCACATAACAGGACTTAGGCTATTTCCCCTTTAGAGAATCAAGTCAAAATTTTGCTTTTCTTTGATTTCTGGGCCACTTTTTTTTTTTCTTTCCCTGAGGAAGATTCACCCTGAGGTAACATCTGTTGCCAATCTTCCTCGTTTTGCTTGAGGAAGATTTGCCCTGAGCTAACATCTCTTCCAGTCTTCCTCTGTTTTGTATATGGGTTTCCACCTCAGTATGGCTGCCAATAAATGGTGTAGGTCTGCGCCTGGGAACCGAACCTGGACCGCTGAAGTGGAGCATGCCGAACTTAACCACTAGGACATGGGGCTGGCACCTGGGCCACTTTTATATAGTTGTTAACTTATTTGTTATTTACATATTATTTCTCACTTAACATTTCCGTTTTCGTGCTATCAAGCAATCTCAGTTTATAAGAGTGTATCTTCTGGGTTGTGCACATTATTGTGAGAGCAAATTTGTGAGCATATCCTGCAGGGTGAAATAACTGGGTGTTAAGGCAAACAGTTTCCTAGCTGTCTAAAAAAGGCATAATTTTAAGTAGAACCAGATTATTAAATATTGTGCTTTCTATTTGAGACAAAATGAGAGAAGAGAGCAAGTCTGATCAGATGAGGCATGTGTGTTCTGTGTCAACTATGCCATAACAGAATCAGACATATAAAGTATGTATCAGGAGCCAAACTAGCCCTTTAGGATGCCCCACAGGAAAGACTTACTTCTCTTGCTAAAGGGCTGGTCACAGATCTGAAGAGGTAGGTGGTTGATGGAAGTGGGCAACAATTAAGAAAACATGCATGTAGGAAGGTCAGGAAGGAAAAACCAGAATGTGAGAACAAGGACAGATTCAGTTTGAGCTGGGCCTTCTGACAAGCATGGAGGAAGAACTGGAGGTGAGGAATAAAATCCCTTGCCGAAAGAAGTTTTGAAAGGTCCTTGCTATAGCTCCATGGGCTCCCTGTGGAGTCTTTGTCCCAGAAAACTGCTGCTCCACCTTGGCTCTTCTGTTTGCCATCCTTGGTGGTACTAGTGCCATGCCCCTTTCTCTGCTCCCTGGCCCCAGCCCTACCCATCTTTGGCTGGATAGGAGAAGAGTGAACACACTCAGATTGCAGCCTCTTTACTTGGCTTTTCCCTGCAATGTCTACAGTGCTGCTGAAATGACATTTATGAGGATGAACCTTACCTCTCTGGGCCCAGGAGCCCTGACCTTCTTTTGGTCCAGAAAGCAGAGTGACTACCTAGACTGTTCCCCAAAGTGGTAAGGTATATGTGCATAGCTATACATGAGAATGTCTGTGTGAGTGTATAATAATATTAGATATTTATTGAACCCTTACTGAGGACTAAGCTCTGAGCTAAATTCTTCATATACATTATCTAATGTATAAATATTTGTATGAGTGTGACTGAACCATGTTGTGGCCTTTTCTGGCCTTAGCCTGTACCACTCACAGTCTGGGTGGAGAGCTACCAGGCATTTATAGACCCTCATGCCTCAAAAAATATCTGTACCCTGGCTGTGGTCCATTCAAAGCCCAGGCCATGCCTAAGGGTCATGAAAACCATAGATGAATACCTGTGGGCAGGACCTCCCACCTGGGAGACCCAACCCTGGGCCTTGTATAAGAAACCACATGAAGATATCGTCTCACTATTACTCACTGCTAGTCAGAGTCCCTTAGCTCAGATCAAATAACCCCACCATCTAACCCACGCATAGCATCTGTCCATTGTCTAAGCCAGAGACGCAGCACTGTAACCTCTAACTACTGTCTGTCCTCTTTGTGCTGGAGTACTTCTCTGTATTTTATGTACAAAGGCAGAGGAGTTGTCCCCGCCCTGCAGCTGGAGTTGTGCCATCCCATTGTTTCTGGGGCTGCTGGTCCTAGCTCAGAACGTTTACCCCTTATAAGATGCTGAGGTATGGACTTGTCGAGAGCATATTGATTCCAGCCTGCCACATGGCAATGATTGTATAAAACGTTTTCCACAGTATCTCTCGGGAACTGGGGAGCTGCTCCCATCCACTGAAGAGAACATAGCTTGTGGCTCTCTTTCTCACACCTCTCATTTTCTAGTCCATAGGGATGTGACTTTCTCTCTGACACTCCTCACGCTAACACCTTTTATCCTCACGGTAGGCCCTGTGAGACTTCAGCCCTCGAAGCTGCAAGGACCAGCAGCCGTGTTTCCCACTGTCGCCTGTTTACCCTTAGATCCTTTCTCCTCAGCTGCTGTGGCGTTTGTTCTTCTTTGCGTCTGTGCTTGTATGATTATTGCAAGAGCCCAGAAAACCCTAGTATTTTTTCTCTCAGATAAAGATTTTATCATACCTCCAGGCTTCTGGGGGTCAAGGAGAGGATTTAAGACAAAGAAGACAGGTTCATCTACAGCCTTCTAAGTCCTTTTATATAATATTCACTCTATAGCTACAAGATTTTGTTTAAAATTTCAGAAATATGCAGTTTCTGAAACTTCATTTTAATGCTTATGTAAGAATCAAAACATTGGAAAGTTTTTAATATTGTCTAATAACACTTTTCAGACAGCTTTTGCCTGTGAGTGATATATGTCTGTACACGTGTTTAAATAACGAAGCCTTCTGGAAGGTTGGTTTTATGCCATTTTATGTCTGATATTAAGCACAATATCCAGCGCAAGGACACAAAGACTAAGGAAAGGGTCTAGGAATCAAAATTGAGGTGTCCTCATTATTGCAAAATTTCCTTCCAGGCATGTCCAGTTGTAATGGTTCACCTCCCAGAAGCATGGCATGGCCTGAGGGGAGAAGTGAGGGTGCAGCCTCTGGCAGCAGACAGCCCTGGCAGGCATGTTGAGTATGTTTATAGGTTGGTAGATTTCTAGCATGCTTTGCTGAAATATAAACTCTTTCAAGACAGGCTTAGTCTGTTTTGTTCATTGGGTTCACATGGTAGGTACTGCGTAATACTTATTGTTTAAAAAGAATAGATATTCACTTCTGATACAAGCATTTGTAGATACATTATCAAGGTAGAAGAATAAATCATGGTCATTCCCAGTTGAGATCTTTATCTTCATTTCCTGACCTCTAGATTCAGGGTCATACCTTCCATGTCTCAGCTCCCTACCCTTATCCTTATCAAACAATAAATCTCTCTTGCACAAATGAATGTCCAACCTGGAACTAATCATCTACCCTTAGCTGAACCTACTCTACCTTTACTGTTCCCCATCAGCAAATGGCTCTGCCATCTACTTAGTTACCCAAAGCAGAAATTAGATGTCATCCTTGATTCACCTTTTCCTTCACTTCCCATATCTAATCAATCACCATGTCTTGTCATTTCTTCCTAATTAATAAGTCTGTCTCCCTGCAAAAGACTCTTTAGGTGTACCAGAGCAGGGATTATCCTTCTTATTCCCAGAGCCTAACACAGGCCAATGGTAGGCTCTAAAAAAGTATTAGTTGAAATGGAAGAAAGAGTGAGTGAACGAATGAATAAATGCCTCTACTTATGTCATAGGTCAGAACTGTCTCATGTCGTTTCTTTTTCTCTAATTTTGCCTCCCTTCACTTCACTTTCTGCTTTCCGAGCAGATGGGTTATGTCTTTTGTTTTAACCCTTCAACAGGTCCCTGTTGCTCATGGTACAGTGCAGAATCTTTAACATGGCTTACATGGTCCTGCGTGACATGGTCCTGCACACCTCTACTGCACCAGTCTCTCTGTGGTCCAGCCACACTGGCGACTTGCTGTTCCTCTAAAATACTTGTGCACTTTTGCTTCTAGAACTTTGCGTGTGCTTTTTTCCTTTGCTTGGCTTCCCCCTGATCCCCACTCCACACACACTTATTTTAACTCTTGCTTGTCTTATAGGTCTCAACTTAGACATCATTTTCTCTCACACTCCCTCCCTGAACCCAGAACTTGGTTAGGTGTTCCTCCTGTGTGCTCCCACACCACCCAGGTTTGCCAGCTATTGTAAGCATCATATTACTTTCTGTTCATTTGTTAACTTTTCTGTCTTTCCTAATGCCTTGTAACCTTCTTGAGGATAGGGAATTTTCATTGTTCAAATTTGTATTCCTAGTGCTAGCACATGACAATGTCAGTACACGTTGAAGAAATGAATGAGGTAGATCTGAAAAAGTACTTTAAAGCAGGCATTCAGCAGTAGTAAGATACCTTCTTTGGTACCTATTTTGATTTGCTCTGCTGCTCATACAGCAGCCCTGTATGGTTATCAATGGTGGTATTATTTTCTCTGTAAGGAAGTGCATCTCAGAGACAAAGTGTGCCCTAGGAACATGTATTTGTTTTCTATGGCTTCTGTGACAAATTATTACAAACTTAATGCCTTAAAATAATACACATTTATTATCTTACAGTTCTGTATGTTAGAAGTCCTACACTGGGCTAAAATCAAAGTGTTGGCAGGACTGCATTCCCTTCTGGAGCCTCTGGGGAAAAATCCATTTCCTTGCCTTTTTTTTTTTCAAGGAAGATTAGCCCTGAGCTAACATCTGCCACCAATCTTCCTCTCTTTGCTGAAGAAGAGTGGCCCTGAGCTAACATCTGTGTCTGTCCATCTTCTTCTGCTTTATATGTGGGACGCCTGCCACAGCATGGCTTGATAAGCAGTGCATACGTCTGCACCTGGGATCCGAACCAGCAATCCCTGGGCTGCCAAAGCAGAGCGCATGAATTTAACTGATATGCCACTAGGCTGGCTTGCCTTTTCCAGATTGTAGAAACTGCCCACATTCCTTGGCTCATAGACCCTTTCCTCCATCTTCAAAGCCAGCAACATTGGGTTGAGACCTCCTCACATCATATCTCTGACCTTTTCTGTCTCCTTCTTCTCCTTTTAAGGACCCTAGATTACATTGTGTCCTCCCAGATAGTCCAGGATAATCTCTATTTTAAGGCCAGCCAATTTGCAACCTTAATTCCATCTGCAACCTTAAGTCCCCTTACTTATAAGATGATATCATTATAGGTTCCAGGGATTAGGATGTGGACATCTTTGAGGGGCGAGAGGATCTTATTCTGCCTACCACAGAAGGTCTTATGGAAAAGGGGGAATTTGAATAAGCCTTGCAGGATGGAAGGATTTCCTCAGGCAGAGTTTGGGGGGAAAATATTTCAGGGGGAGAGGGTGGCATAAGCAGCAAACAAGGTAAGAGATTCAAGGCATGTTTAGGGAGCAAAAAGTAATCTAGGTATCTGGAGTGGAGTACAGCAAGGCTGGGGTAAACGGATGGGGAGCTAAGTAATGGGAGAAAAACTAGGAGAGTCAACTGGGGCCAGACTGGAAAGTCCTGAATGGTAGGCTGAGAAGTTTGGAATTCATTGTCTTTATAGTGGGGTGCCTCTGAAGGCTTTTGAGAGAAATATCATGGTCTACTGTGCTTTAGAAAAATAACTCTTATAATGATATGCAGAGCAGCTACATGCTAGAAGGTTATTGAAAAAGTTCTAGCAAAAGGTAATAAATAGGCTGGTAAATAGAAAAGGGGGGCCAAATTAAGGGGACTTCATGGGGGAAAGAAAATCACAGGCTATATCAGGATTCCTTGGTTGCAAGCAGCCAATTCTGGATAGTAAAAATTAGGAGCGGGTGGCAGAATTTATTAGAACAGTATGGGGTAGCTCACAGTATCAAAGGACTAGCTAAAGATCCAGGTTTCAGGAAGAGTGGGAACTAGAGCAGCTCTGGGGATTTAGGGTGCAGGAACAAAGGGACGTTCTCTTCAAGGGCTGCTGCCAGCATGAATTAATGTGAAAAATTTTCAGATCAGCCTTTACTATGTTCAAGATCCAGTTTTAGGAGAAAGTACACTTGGCCCAACTTGGGTCCTGTATATGTCACTGAATTAATCACTGCAGCCAAGGAGCTGGAGTGTAATGATTAGCTATGAGCCACATGGTCACCCCTGATGGAGGGGTGAGGGGATGGATGGCTTCTTCCTAATCTGTGCCCTGTGAGCAGAAGAGGGGTTGGTTCCCCAAAGAAAAGGACTAACTAGATAAGAATAATGAAGGATAAGAAGAAGATAAAAATGCCCTGAGGCGTATCATGCTGTGTGGCAATAGCCTGCAGTCTTATGCTAATCTGAATTCTGTTCTAACCATGAATGTTTCATTCTCTCAGTGCTTAACTCTTGGATTCAGAATTTGATTATTCCTCTGGGTTTATAGCATTCAAAAATCTGGTGAGGTTATTTCTCAACTTGACCTTTTATTTTTCTAGCATCTTGGAATCTACCATACCCAACCTCTCCTAGCCTGCCTGTTCATGCATCTGCTCATGATCCTGGGCCCAACCAGGACCTGGTTTTGAAGGGTGCATTTAGGGTTAATTCCAGTGTAGTGGCAAGGTCTCCAGGTGGAAATGCCCTGGAGATAACTGGATTCATGAGACTGGCTTTTGTGTGAAAAGTCAAAATTAGAGGTAGAGTTTGGGCATCATTTGTGTAGAGGTGATGGTTTTATCTGTGATGCTGGGTAAGTTTCCTGAGGGTGTGATTGTAAGAATGGAGCAAGGAGAGTCCTAGGATTGAGCCTTTAGAAAAACTATGTTTTACGAGGTGGAAGGAGGGAAGTGAGCCAGGATTAGAGATACAAGGAATAGTTAAAGAAGTGGAAGGAATATGTAGGGGAGGAAGACATTTCCTCTACCCACCATGGGTTCTGGCTGGAGAACGAATTAAATTCACATGAGACAGAGTAACAGGAGAAAATTAAACAAAGCTTTATAACATGTGTACATGGGAGAGGCTCAGGCAAACTGAGCAACTCGTCAAAATGGCCGAAGGCACCACCTTAAATACCATCTTCAGCTAAAGACAAAGGAGGAGTTGGGGGAGGGGGGAGTGAGTTACAGGAGGTTACCAGACAAGTACAGTAAACAGGAGTAATATTATTATGCAGATTTAAGTCCTTGCCTTCCACATTGATAATAGTTTCTAGAGATAAGGTCATCCCTCCTTCCTGGCACAGAGAGGGAGACACCTTTACAGATGGAGATTTCCTTTACAATGTAAATGTTTCTTAACAAAGGGTAAGTAAATTCCACTTTTCAGAGTCTCTTTCCTGTCTGCAGTTTTCAAAAGTAACCAGCCCAAAATAATCCTCCTGCCAAAGAAACATACCTTGGGGTGGCCAATTCCAGTCCCCCACAAATACAAATGTCTCAATAGCCATGGGAGGAGGATGTTTCAAGGAGCAGATGGTCCACAGTACAGAGAAGTCAAGAAGAGTGAAATGTGAGAAAAAGACTTTTGGACTTGAGAGTAAAGTGGTCATTGATGATTTTCCCAAGTTTTGGTAAAATGGTGGAATGGAAGCCAGATTTCAGGGAGGTGGGAGAAAATGGATGGTAAGGAAATGGGAACCAATCAAACTAGCACATATTTATTGAGCTTACAGTGTTCGTGGCACTGTGCCTTTACAGTTGTGAACTTATCACTGCCCTCCAGGAGTATCAAACCAAGTTGAGACAATAAGGAATCCATGAAAATGTTCATTATGACAAATTCAGAAGTTATCATAAGGTGGGCCATGATTAATTGTCTGATGTGTGATATGGACAATATGAGTATACTTGTTCAGAGATAAAAGAGGCTGCTTTACTTTGGATTCTCTAAGAAAGCTTCCCTTGTCTGTTTCTGCTTCTTTTCTCCTAGCCATCCCTCTTTTAATTAAAGTTCTAATTTTCCATGAGTTAAGAAACAGAATCAAGACTGTGTCATTCAGTAAAAATCAGAATACACTGAGTACAGTCCGGAGAAGTCACATGTGCAGCCTGAGGGCAAGAGCTTTGTGATAAGCATGGGACTCTTCAAGCTGGGGGCGACCTCGCTGCCTGAGAAGCCTCCCACAGGGTGGGTTGTTGTAACAGTAAGAACTAGGGGTTGTGTAGAGGAGACGAGCGGTTGTGGTGAGTCAGGACTCCTGTACTGATGGGAAGAATAGAGCTAGCTGTAAGAGGCCCAATAAATGTGAGATTTTAGCTGTGTGCACACTAGACAGGCTTCTTCAGTTCATGGCTTTGAGGCCATTTAGTGTGAAAGAAGTGGAGCTCACGGTGGTTTTGTTTTCTTCCCACCTGAGGTCTGTGGAAATGTTGCACCTTCGTTTTCCTTAGTTACCATCTTAACATTGAAGAGAGAAACACTTTTTTGGTTTCCCTGTTAGTCATTAAGGCTAAAGTGTGTTAGGCTAAGCATAAAAAGGAACACAGGCTCAGGACTAGCTGATTTGAAAAATTGATGGCACCTCCACAAGGCTGGTACAGAACGTATTTTTCCTTCATGAGTGTTATATCGACTTCAAATGCTTTGGGTTTTTAAGAGGAGAATAAGTAGCCTCTGTTAAATCTTGCCACTAAATAAAACTGGTCCCAAAGCAGACAGTTCTCAGTCTTCTAAGTAGGGCCTTGTCTGACTATGAGTGTGATACCGTGCTTCTGTCTCAGAGAAAATAGTCATACCATTAGCCTTGAGCCTCAGCTGATTTTTACAGACATTTTCCCAGAGCCACCTCGCTAAGTTGGACTCAAACTCAGGTTTTCTAAACTATGGAACTTGAGCACTGTGCTTTAAGAATTGCACAGAATGCTATCAGAAGCCGCGAGATTTTAGTTTTAGTTTAATTGCTGACATTAACTAGCAATAGGAATAAATGTATAATTTCCCCTCTGTGGGCCTCAGTTTCCCCAGTTTCCCTGATCTAGATGATTGATTTTTCAGAATGATCCAGCTCTGAAATTTTAGGATATTTATCTCTGTTTCTGCACGAGTAGATGCAGCCTGGTGATTTTAGGGTTGGCCTAGGAGCATATTTTTCCCTAATTGAGGCAAATGGCCCAGCATATTTTCTTTTGATGACCTCACTTCATAAAAAAGTAGCTTGTAGTAAATGGAGTAATATAAGTAATGGTGAAATTGCTTAGAGATTGGAGAATCAGGGGTATATGTATACTGAAAGAACACTGACCTGAAAGCTGAGAAATCTGGGATCTGGACCCAGTATAGACATTAACTCATTGGGGCCCTTGAGCAATCACTTAATCGATTCTGGACCTTAGTTTTCCCATTTGTAAAATCAAAACATTGAACAATATGTCTAGTTACCATCTATGCAGTTCTAGGATCAATTCCTCGAATAGGTAATCTGCTACTGTTAGACTTCCTATTCTAGGATCCAGACCGATTGTAGTGATGTCTAAGTTCATTGCCTAGAAGATTTATCACTAAATGGCTGATATTTCTATGCAGAGCACAGACTGTGACTTCTGACCAAGAAAAGCGGTTGCTGCATCAGCTCCGAGAAATCACCAGGGTCATGAAAGAAGGGAAATTCATTGACAGACCCACTCCAGAGAAAGAAGCTGAGGAGGCCCCTTATATGGAGGACTGGGAAGGTAAGTAATATCTTCTCATTTTTGTGTTACCTGTCAGCCCAGAAAAGAGATCTTACAAACGTTTTAAAAATCAGCTTTATTACTAAAGTATAGTATATATACAATAAAGTTCACCCATTTTAAGTGTATGGTTGGCTGAGTTTGGACTAATGTGTAGAGTTGTGTAATTATACCACAGTCATGATGTAGAACATTTTTACCATCTTGGACAAAGTTCCCTCCCCCGTTGCAACTAATCCCTTCCTGCCCGCGGTAACAACTGAATTGCTTTCTGTCTCTATAGTTTACCCTGTCTATATAAATGGATCATCCTGCACATGCTCTTTTGTTTCTGGCTTCTTTGATTTAGCATAATCTTTTGAGATTTACATGTTGACTGTATCAGTAGTTCTTTTTTTTTAATATTGCTGAGTAGTATTTTTTAAAATTTTTATTCGGTTTATTTAAACTCAAAAAAAACAGGGGCCAGCCCCGTGGCTGAGTGGTTAAGTCTGTGTGCTCTGCTTCAGTGGCCTAGGCTTTCACTGGTTCAGATCCTGGGCGCGGACATGGCACTGCTCCTCAGGCCATGCTGAGGCAGTGTCCCACATGCCACAACTAGAAGGACCCACAATTAAAATATACAACTATGTCCTGGGGGGATTTGGGGAGAAAAAGAAAAAAAAGAAGATTGGCAACAGTTGTTAGCTCAGGTGTCAATCTTTAAAAAAAAAAACAGTTCCCTCACTTTTCCCACCCCCTACCACTCCTGCCTCTTGCAACTACAAATCTGTTCTTTGTATGTATGAGCTTGGTTTTTTTGTTTGTTTATTTTTATATTCCACAGGTAAGAGAGATTATAAGGTATTTGTCTTTCTTTGACTTATTTCACTTAGCATAATGCCTTGAGGTCCACCCATGCCACAAATGGTAAGATTTTATTCTTTTTTATAGCTGAATAATATTCCATTGTATGTATGTGTGTGTGTCATATTTTCTTTATCCATTCATCTATCAGTGGACACTTAGGTTGTTTCCATATCTTGGTTTTTGTAAAAAATGCTGCAGTGAACATAGGGGTGCATATATCTTTTCAGATTAGTGTTTGTGTTTTCTTCAGATAAATACCCAGAAGTGGAATTACTGGATCATTTGGTAGTTCTATCTTTAATTTTTTGAGGAACCTCCTTACGGTTTTCCATAGTGGTTGCACTAATTCACATTCCCATCAACAGTGTACAAGCGTTCCCTTTTCTCCACGTCCTCTCCAGCACTTACTTCTTTTCTTTTTCGTAATAGCCATTCTAACAGGTGTGAGGTGATAGCTCATGTGGTTTTGATTTGCATTTCCCTGATGATTAATGGTGTTGAGCATTTTTTCATGTACCTGTTGGTCATCTGTATGTCTCCTTTGGAAAAATGTCTATTCAGATCTTCTAACCATTTTTTAATCAGATTGTTTGTTTTTGCTATTGAGTTGTATGAGTTCTTTATATATTTTGGACATTAGCCCCTTATCAGATAGATGATTTGGAATTATTTTCTCTTATTTAGTAGGTTGCTTTTTCATTTTGCTGATGGTTTCCTTCGCTGTGCAGAAGCATTTGTTTGATGTAGTCCCACTCATTTATTTTTGCTTTTGTTGCTTTTGGTATTAGATTGAAAAAAATCATCACCAAGATCTATGTCAAGTTGCTTATTGCTTATGTTTTCTTCTGGGAGTTTTATGGTTTCAGGTCTTATGTTCAAGTCTTTAATCTATTTTTGGGTTAATTTTTGTGTATAGGGTAAGATAGTGGTCCAGTTTCATTCTTTTGCACGTACCTGTCCAGTTTTACACCATTTATTGAAGAGACTGTGCTTTCCTCTTTGTAAATTCTTGGCTCCTTTGTTGTAAATTAATCATATATGTGTAGGTGTTTTTCTGGGCTCTATATTCTGTTCCATTCATCTGTACATCTGTTTCTATGCCAGTACCATACTATTTTAATTACTATAGCTTTGTAATATAGTTTGAAATCAGGGAGCATGATGCCTCCAGCTTTGTTCTTCTTTCTCAAGGTTTCTTTGGCTATTTGATGTCTTTTGTGGTTCCAGACAAATTTTAGGATTGTTCTATTTCTGTGAAAAATTCCATTGGAATTTTGATAGGAATTTCATTGAATATGTATATTGCTTTGAGTAGTATGGACATTTTAACAATATTAATTCTTCCAATCCATGAGCATGGAATATCTTTCCATTTATTTATGTCTTTAATTTCTTTCATTAACGTCTTATAGTTTTCAAGATACAGATCTTTCACTTCCTTGTTTAAATTTATTCCTAGGTATTTTACTCTTTTTGATACAATTGTAAATGGGATCGTTTTCTTAATTTCTCTTTCTGATAGTTATTAGTGTAAAAAAACATGATGAATTTTGGAATATTGATTTAGTATGCTGCACCTTTACTGAATTTGTTTATTCTAACAGTCTTTTGATGGAGTCTTTAGGGTTTTCTATGTATAATATCATGTCATCTGCAAATAGTGATAGTTTTACTTCTTCCTTTCCAATTTGGATGCCTTTTATTTCTTTTTCTTGCCTAATTGCTCTGGCTAGGACTTACAGTACTATGTTGAATTAAAGTGGTAAGAGTGTACATCCTTGTCTTGTTGCTGATCTTAGAGGAAAAGCTTTTAGCTTTTCACCATTGAGTATGCTGTTAGCTGTGGGCTTGTCATATATGGCTTTTATTATGTTGAGGTACGTTCCCTCTTTGCCCACTTTGTTAAGAGTTTTTATCATAAATGGATGTTGAATTCTGTCAAATTCTTTTTCTGTATCTATTGAGATGATCATATGAATTTTATCCATCATTTTGTTAATGTAGTGTATAACACTGACTGATTTGCAGATGTTGAACCATCCTTGCATCCCTGGGATAAATCCCACTTGATCATAGTGTATGATCCTCTTAATGTATTGTTGAATTCAGTTTGCTAATATTTTGTTGAGGATTTTTGCATCTATGTTCATCAGGGTTATTGTCCTGTAATTTTGTGTGTGTGTGTAGCATCCTTGTCTGGTGTTGGTATCAGGGTACAGCTGCCCTTGGAAAATGTGTTTGGAGGAGTTTCCCCTCTTCTGTTTTTTGGAAGAGTTTGAGAAGGATTGGTATTAGTTCCTCTTTGAATGTGGTAGAATTCACCAGTGGAGCTGTCTGGTCCTGGACTTTTGTTTCTTGAGGGGTTTTGATTATTGATTCAATCTCCATTCTAGTAATTGGTCTGTTCAGATTTTCTGTTTCATCATGATTGGTAGGTTGTATGCTTCTGGGAATTTATCCATTCTTTTTCCAAGGTCTCGAGGTGGAAGCTTAGATCCTCAATCTATTTCTGACCCTTATTTCATTAATGATCTCTCTCTCCCTATTTCTCTTCCCCCTTCTTCTGGTTCTCCAGTTGCACATATGTTAGACCTTTGATATTGCCCCACAGGTCCTCTGTGGTCTGTTCTTTTCCTCAGTCTCTTTCATGCCATACTTAATTTTGGATAATTTTTCTTGGTATGTCTTCAAGTTTATTAATCTTCTGCAGTATATAATCTGCTCTTAATCTCATTCAGTGTATTTTTAATGTCACATATTCTTATCTCTGAAGTTCCATTTGGGTATTTTTTTTTTAAAGCTTGGCACCTGAGCTAACAACTGTTGCCAATCTTTTTTTTTCTTTTGCTCCCAAAGCCCCCTAGTACATAGTTGTGTATTCTAGTTGTGAGCACTTCTGGTTGTGCTATGTGGGATGCTGCCTCAACATGGCTTGATGAGCAGTGCCATGGCTGCGCCCAGGATCCAAACTGGCAAAACCCTGGGCCACTGAAGCATAGCACACGAACTTAACCACTCGACCATGGGCCTGACCCTGGGTTTTCTTTTAATATCTTTCATTTCTCTCATATATTCATATTTTCTTCTACTTTCTTAAAAATGTGTGATATATTTTTATATATATATAAGACAGCTTCTTAACAGTCTTGGCTGCTGGTCTTATCAATGGTGTCATTTCTTGGTCTGTTTCTAGTGATTAATGTTTGTTGTTAGTGTCATCAAGTCAATTCCAATGCCTAGCATCCATGTGTATAGCAGAGCAGAACACTGCCTGATCTTTTTGCATTATCCTCTCACCTTCTGGTGCTATATCAGACAATGCTCTGCTACTATTCATAGGGTTTTCATGGCTAATATTTTTGGAAGTGGGTGGCCAGATCCTTCTTCCTAGTGTGTCTGAGTCTGGAAGCTCTGCTAAAACCTGTCCACCATGGGTGACCCTGCTGGTATTTGAAATACCGGTGGCATAGCTTTCAGCATCACAGCAACGTGCAGCCATCATGTATGACAACCAACAGAGAGGTGGTCTGGGTCTCTGCGAAACAAACTTGGGCCACAGCAGTGAGAGCGCCGAACCTTAACCACTAGACCAGCACCAGGCTCTTGTCTAGTGGTCTAGTGATTCTCCTTGTTATGGGTCCTAATTTCCTGCCCTTTTTGCATGCCTGGTAAATTTTGATAGGATGGTGGATATTGCAAATTTTACATTGTTGGATGCTGAATTTTGTTTTAGTACTTTAAATAGTGTTGGACTTCTTTCTGACACACAATTAAGTTACCAGAAATCACTTGGATCCCTTTAAGGCTTGTTTTTAAGATTTATTAGGGTGGGTCCAGAGCAGCCTTTACTCTCTGACTAATTTAGCCACACGAGTAAGGCAGGACCCTTCCCAGGACTCCGCCTGGTGCTCCAGAAGGTCTTTCCACTCTGGCTAGTAGGAACATGAACTATTCCCAGCTGTGTATGAGCTATGTAAAAGAATTTTTAGGCCTAATGCTTTCAGTGGTTCTTTTCCTGAATTTGGGTAGTTCTTTCCCATAAATGCACAGATCAGAACTCAAGTAAAAACATGAAGAATTCCCTCTGAAGACCTCTGGAGCTCTTTCTCTCTGAAGCTCTGTTCTTTCCAGTGTTCTTCCCTGTAAATTCT